TTAGAGTCAAGTTTTGGTTTTGTAGGTGAGCCTGATAAACAGGTATGCTTCTCATAGACATGCTGCGATAACAAACGAAGGAGGCGATCTAGCCTGTTCTCCAATTTTCTCCATAGGGAATTTAGTGACATGTAACTGGTAAGATGTTCTAGATTTAGATAAATCCCTTAAAGCGTAAATGGTTGAGTATACGCACTTACAGCTCCAATGAACAGTAGCGAGAAGGCTTTGCCTTGCATGTAATCGCTAAAAAGTTTTAAATCCCCTGGATTTATCTGAAGGAAAATTCAATTGAACGTATGCGCGCCACCTACGGCCAAATCTGCCTTCTTTAAAGGATTTTTAAATTCCATTGGTAGATCTATCAATGAAGCCTCTGAAATTTTCCTACATATCGCGTTAGCATTTCGTTCATTATGAAAGGGAATCCTAGGGTTTAAGATCGCAACGAACCCATAGCCTTCCAGATTCCTACAATACTTGCTTCAACATACTATTGTGGCAAAAATCAGAATAAACGGATTTTACAAATTCGGGATGTAAATAATTTCTTAAATAAGCCCAAATTGCCAACATGGACTTATTTGACAAAATTCATACCAAATTGATGGTTGCTTTTGACTCCTTTGTCTCCAGGCTTCGCCAAGGAGTTGCATCTACTCTTGGTACTTCTGGAATTAAGAATTACTGCGAGGAACCTGATTCATGGTCTGAGTCTTTCCTCCTCGGTGAAAAATACGACTTTACAGATGAAGGAAGGCAAGCGAGGGAGCTTCGACTTGCTTCGATTCCATATTTTTGTTATAGACACGGATTTTTGCCCATAGTATCTTCCAGTGGAAAAGAGCTGACTAGCGACATTGGCTGGGGGTGTATGCATCGGTCAGGTCAAATGTTTTCCGCCTCCATTCTCCAGATCATTTTGGGGCCTTTTGATGATGACAAGGTACACCTGTCAAGTTGTAACAACAAAGCTTTTGTCTTTTTTCTATGACATTAAGACAGCGCCTCTGTCTATTCAATCGATTTCCTCGCGAGGCAGCTTATTTTCTAAAGATCCTGGATCATGGCTTAGTCCGTTGCCCCTCAGTCTGATCTTGAAGTACTGAAAAGTGATTGCTGTAATTTTACTAGGAGCATCTTTGAAGAAATATGGAAAGCTCAATTTCAAAACTCAATCCTAATTGAATGTTGTGGCGACTGTGGCCAAATTGATCGAAGATTTATTTCAGCCACCTGCCCCAAAATTTTGTTTTGCCCATTGCGAATTGGCCTTGATAAGATCAATAAGATATACATCGACCAGCTAAAGGTACAATCAAAATATCAAGATTATTCTCATAGGCTTTGCTTTCAAAGCCCTACTCACTCGGGTTGATCGGTGGAATCAAACAAGCCTCTTTTTTTTCTCCTGGGTATGAAGGTACCTTCTAGGGCTTATTGTAGATAAAAATTTGCTGTGTTTTGATCCTCACTATCCAAAACCGGCGCTTTTAAATTCAAAAGTAAGCCTTTTTAATTAAAGTAGTGCCATTCAACTTGTTTTAATGGCCAGGTCATACGAGTTCCTTTTGAAATCTTGGATCCGTCCATGCTAATTGGATTCTATTTCGCACAGCCGAGACAAATGGAAGATTTCATTACCGAAATCGAGAAATACTCCAATGCAGGAACAGGATTTTTCTCTGTTGGAGATCTCAACAGAGAGCAGATATCATTTTCTCATTTGGATGAATTTTGAATTGCACAGCAGATTTGATTTAGTAAATAAATTTAATTTTTACAATTTTTTATTGAATGATTTCTACTAAATCTTCCTCATATCTCAATATCAATGAGATGTTTGTTACGGAAGGCGGGGAAGCTCTATTGAAATTCAGAGAGGAGGTAGCACAGTTCTCTTTGCACTCGGCTGCATCCAGACTCTCTGCAGAAAAGAAGGCCAAAAGCGAATTTTCGTTTTCTATGTATAGGGCCGAAAGGAAAAAGAGAGATGAGAACCATTTTTCAGTAATCTTGGCTTTTATTTACTTTTCCTAGAAATTTGGCCATTTAGCCACCCAAGTAAGCGGGTCTAGGCCGATTTCTTCCGTATCCATAGGGTCCAACAAATGTTTAACTGGATCGTGGTGCGGAGACGCTACGCTATGGGATTTAGAAACCCTCAATCCAATTTGCTTGCTTGAAAATGGATATTTAGACTCTCGTCTTTGTAGTGTTCTTTATAAGGATCATTTTGATGAATTAATGTTTACCGGCGATTCAAACGGGCTAATTAGAATGTGGAGGCTCGATGGGGACTCCAAAAGCCATGCCATTGGGTCTTTATCAGGACATCAGGGTCGAGTGTCTCAGATGGTTTCTTTTCCTCATAATCAGAAAACTTCAATTAAAATATGCTCTGCCTCTGGTGACACCACTTGGAGGATTTGGGATGTTGCTACCGAATCGTCAATCCTTCTTCAAGAAGGGCATTCAAAAGACGTTAACTCCATTGATGTTCATCCAGATGGCGCCTTGGTTGTCACCGGTGGTTTTGACGCTAATGGAATTGTCTGGGATGTTCGGATTGGTCGTCCCATTTTTACTCTCAAGGGACATTCAGATGCAGTGGTGGGTGTTTCCTTCTCTGCAAATGGAATCTTAATTGCATCTGGTAGTCAGGACAATACAGCACGGATATGGGACTTGCGAATGTTAAAATCGGCATACAAATTGCTTGCACATACGGCTCCATTGACCGGTGTGAAATTTAGCAAATCTCAATGCCATCATTCTTGGGGAGCGATCGAGGGATCTCCTCTGCTTCTCACTACAAGCCAAGATATGACGGCAAAGCTATGGGCCTCCTCTGCAGAGTGGGCCCAAGTAGCTCTGCTTGCCGGTCATTCCGGGAAGGTAATGCAGGGCGATATTTCTGAAGATGCCCGTACAATAGTTACAGTATCGTACGATCGTACGCTTAAATTATGGCAAGTTGCGGATGCTTTGTAAATTTATTAAATAAAAAAATAAAAAAGCAGCTAGACGTGTCAATATAAACGAAGCTCTGGTTGCTGAATAAATAAAATACAAATATTTAGAAGTAGAAAATTGACCCCAAAAATTAGGTATTTGGTTTCTTTTTTGGAGGCGAGGGGTACGGAAAAGAAACGTGCAAATGCAGCTCTCTCAACCGCTGTACAAAACAAAAATAGGTGGAAATAGGCAATGTGCCGATTTCAAAATAAAAAGTAGGAATATTTACTATAGACTCAAAAATAGGAAAAAGTTGAGGATGACCGGTGAGCAATGGACTGAAAAAAGGATTTAGCGACTCTAATCGATTTGGATCAATGGTAAAGTTTGTCAAGATCGACTTGATAACAGATATTTTCTCGGTCGAAGATATATTTGAAAACCACGCCACAAGACGATTTTCAATGTCTTTGCCTGTTGCATTCGTATTAATACTTTTCGAAAAGGTATCATTGACATTTGAAAATTTCTTTTCAAGTATCCTTTGATAATAAGCTTGATCCAATGTTGTATTCAATTTGGGCAGCGTATTGATAGAAATTTTTGAAATGTGGGTTGTCATAAAGGTAAGGTTGAGTTTATAAAATACGTCAACAACAGTAAAAAAATCTTCTGAATACTCGTTAGAAATTACCTCCACAACTTTATATCTTAGTGCCTTTTTGAGAAAAGGCACATGCGCGTATTGTCTAAGTAGCGATTTTAACTGAATGAAAATTCCACGGTTAGGCATCGAGCTGAGGGCTTCCGCCACCAGAACCAGGTTTATTTCCGGAAACTTGTACACATAATCCACTATATGGCTCTTTAAATGATCCTCGAAAACTTTCAAATATGCGAATTGGGACGGTTTTTCGAGATTTACCAGACAAAAGTTTATCAAAATAAAAGCGAAAATTATAGGGAAAGGTAGAAACAGAAGAGCCTTTGTATATTTCGAAAATTTGAATGTAGCTTCGCTTGGAGGTTCGTAGCTTTTAATCCCAAGCTTGGAACCGGCGGTGTTGATCAATTTCGACAAGAAGAAGTATACGACAATTGAGAGAAGGCTCGAGAGTATCGTTATAGACACTGAACTAAATAGATTCATACTAACAAAATTGAAAACCTCAGTATAGGGTATTGGGAATGCTAAATAGCTTGAAGCCATTGTTGCAGGTACAAATCTTGTATTTTTGGCGTTCAGGGAATCATTATCCAGGATGTGGCCATCCTCTGCAACGATGACTTTTTCCCCAAAAAAGATCCCTTGTGGATGTTTGAAAATAAACAAAATGCAAAAAAGTGTCCCACATAAAAGAAGAGAAACATAGGCAACAACAGTGCTGCGGTGTTTCATAAAAAGCACGTCGGATTAATTTGGAAAAAAAATTAATTGGTCAAACACATAAAGCTTGGCCATTTAGTGGCCCAAATTCGATAAATTGAATTAATTACAAAATTTGGCATCATCGCCAAACCAATTGTGCAGTGGAGCATGGCCCAAGTGCCATTTATTGGATTGATTATGTATTTCTTAGGCCTTTTTCTCTAAAAAGCTTTTCATTTGTGATCGCAGCTCAGAGGTCGAAGAGAGCTTGTCCATTAAGGAACGCTCATCCCTCTCCTTGCATATTGCTTCTATGATGGGCCAGAGGTATTTACGATCCTCCTCCGGCTTTGTCCACTCTTCCCTTGACAGACGTTCATGTTTCATGTGCAAATGGATGGCTCGACGAATGCGAAAAGTTCTATCAAATTGCTCTTGCTCGGACAGGCGAGATATTGCTTCCATTACAACCGGGTGGTTCGTGTCAATAATATCATCGACATAAAGGCCTAAAAATCAGCCATGTTAGGGTTGGGATACCGAATTGCCTATGGCCCCAAGTGCCAACATACCAGTTTGCGAAACTGACCACCTTATTGTGCAATGCAGGCCGCTTTTCAAGAAATGTTCGGATACTTTTTGTCAATGCCCTGACCTTTGGATAGTAGTTCGGAGTCTCTGAGAACATTCCGAAACAATACAAATGTAAAAATTACTTTTGATTGCGTCTTGCAAAGCCTGAATTTTAAATTGAAAATTAGGAACTTTCTTTACTCGCTGCTGTGAATGGATGTAAATCACTTTCGTTCCATTTATGTGTTTTATTTCCACATCGCATATAAATCGACAAATCAACTGGATCAAAGTGATGGTATTTATTTATGTAAACTTGTATATCAGCACGAGAGTTTAAAAATTTTTGTCCTTGTCAATAATGAATGGGTATCTTGCTCCCTTTTCGCCGTTTCCGAACTAATTGAATCATATTCGCAGCTTCTTGGCATACATTGGATAAAGTTCCAGGATTCCGTTATTTTGGCCTTAATTTTCAACAGGTACTCGATATATTTAGAGAGAAGCGTCATTTTCGACACCATTACTTCTATATTGAGGGGGGGAAATTGCAGCGCTACCACACCATCTCCCCAAATTTCGCCAATATTGCCTGGAAATCCCACAGTGGGCGAAAACACCCTACCCCTTTATAAGTCAACTTTGAAGAAATTTGATTTTTTTGGGGTTATCTCGTCCTTTGCTCCGGTGTCAAATGGAATCGTTGTTTCTAATGACCAAGGACTGGGATATATCCCGCGTTCCGACTCCATGATAGTTTACATTCCCGAATTGTTTGGTAGCTTTCATATCCTGCACGCTATATCCTTTTCCCCCGAATCTTCAGACGATGTTTCATATTCGTATATTCTCTTTTATTCCATCGAGAGGGAGGAATATTTCATATTGAAGGCAACATTCGAAAGATCTTGTATATCTCCCTCTTTTTCTGTCCTTCCAGGCTGTGATGGATTTCAAGAACACTTAAAAGGTAGCATCTTAAATCCGTATGAGCCCTTAAATTGTTCGTTTTCGTTAATCGAATCGTGTCTCCATATTCTGATTTCTTCAAAATCAGCAAAGTGCTACTCCCTTGTTAAGATTTCTGCTTGCGGTGGCATTGAGATCTTTCTTGTTGAAAACTTGAACGGAAGCTCTACCTCTCAGGCTCTTTTGGTGACTTTCAATGGGGTTTTGCTTGAAAACGAATATACTGCCATTTCATCTTCCCTTATGCGACCACTGTTTCCAAAGGCCATCTCTGTAATTGCTACGCATGAAGGAATATTCTTCTATATAGACCGAGAAAAAATCCCAATCCCCCATTGCTCAGGTTTGGCGAAACACAATGTACTTGGACAAAGGCTTCCAAAAGTATTCATCTATGACTATAAGGTGATCATACTATTTGACCATAAAGTTGACACTCCAATAAGCTTGGAGCTCGACTTATTTATGGGTTCACACAACGTTTTGACTACACCATTTCACCTTTCCATGTTTTACAAAATCCTTTTGGGGCTTAACTCTATCATGCCGCATCGATGCTTTGTTTTTGATTTATTTTCAAATATCTATGCTTCAAATCAGAATATAATCGATGTTTTGTTGGAATTGTTCCAGTCTCAATCCTACTATCGGGAGGTACTTTCGGCGCGTTCTTCTTCGTTTCGCTTATTTTGTACCTGCATCTATGAAGATTTAAATATTTTAACCCTTTCGCACCAACATCCGTATGTAGAAGCTATTGAATATTTGATTGGATTTCTGTCTCGGATCCTCAAAATCAACATCTTGGATTCATCGGAATTTCGAAGCTCTCTTATTTGCTGTTTGGCCGACAATTCAAACATCGACAAAATCAAGGTAGACCCTGTGCTTTTTCCATCCAACACATGCTCCTTTTTGTTCCCAAGAATATATTTTTTTCTCCAAAACTGGGCTGATCTCGTCAACGGAGATTACGGGTCGCTATCTTCCATTTATAACTTTGTATTTTTCGCCACGATTCTTCTTGGCGATATTTTGCCCGGGCAGGTGACCCTCAACGGGGTTTTTGGTTCAGACGACAGGAGCCTCGTTCGTATTACACAATTCACCAACTTCCTGTCCAATGGTCTTGAGAAGACTAAGCTTCCAAACCAATTTGAATGGGTCTCGCGTATTTCGCAACCCTTCAGTGTATATGCACTTTTGCTTAATGAAAAGTATCGCCTTTTAAGCGATTCCATTTCTTTAGAAACATTCAAAAATATCAGCCCTGATATGGCCAGTGTCTTGCTCGAATTCTTTGCCAGAAACGATATCATCAAATCTCAAGAAAAGTCGTGTGATCTGTTTTCTCCAAGTCCGCCAAGCAGTGTCCATGTCGAGCATATGAGGAAGCTATTTTCTTTGGATTTTGTAGAGAATTTAACGTCGTTCAAGCTCGAAAATGATCAGTCTCAAATCGAGTCTTTCGTTGGATTTGAAAATTTGTCCTCTGTGTATCTCAAAGAGACAGACCTATTAAAGGTTCAGGCCATTTTAACCGAAATTTTCACGCTAAAAAATGCTCACATGCCCGCTGGTCTCTTGCTTATCAGCTCCATAGAACTTTCAAAGGCTCAGCCCTCGGATGTTGGTGCAACATTTTCATCCGTCCTTTCCCAAGTTAAACAAAAAGTCTATTTTTCCACACATTCAACCTCGCCTACTTTTGATCTCCAAAGACAAAAGCGGCTTTTCGAGTTTTTGCTGTGCATCAAGATCGTACTTGAGTTTAAGGAGAAAATTGACCTGTCCTATGTTTTGTCTGTTAGGCCAAAGTCAAAGTCCAACACATCGTTCACCAGCTTTTACCATTGGCCTGCATTTTTATTTGGTCTAGGGCTTTCCGGCAATTTTACAAAGCCGTATCCGCACGATGTGATTTTAGAATTTATCTCCGTTTCAGAGCCGACTTCGACATCTTCTTCTGGCACAAAGGCCTCTAGCTTGTCTGATGTCAATCTTGTATCGGCTAGCTCGTTTCTGTTGTGTTCTGGAATTTCATTTATAGGTTCCAAAGACGTTCTTCTTACAAAATCGGCTAGCATGCATTTCCCGTCCATTGTGTTTTCAAATCATTTGACGCTTTCGTTGCCAAACTTTGATTCCAACATCATTACATATCCAATAGTTGATTTGCCGCATCATTGTGTTGTTATTTCAGCAGTAATATGTTCGGGTCTGTTATATGCTCAGTTCCCGCATCTGCAGCTTCTTAAAGTATTTCTTGGCGAGTTTCTATATTTGTTCAGCAATACGTCATCCCAAAAGGAGGCAAAACAATTTTCCTTCAAAAACTCTGGATGCCGGTGGTATTGGTCATCGTCTTGTAAAATTTCTAAAAGCGGGAACCTTGTGGACCACGAATTCAGCACTGCAAATATTTATTCACACTTCCAACCGATAACGGGCTCCCATAAAAAACATCCTTCCTCAGATTTCTATCCAAGCCGCAGCATGCGGCTGGACAACCAATTCTACCCCTACTATTTGTCTCGTATTAAGGGCTTTTCATTGGAGGGCCACTCTCTTTCCATTTGCTTTTCATTGGGAATTTCGCTATTTTCAATTGGATTTTCGACAAACATAAGCGTTGATAGCGTCATCTCCGATATCATTTCGGTGCTTTTTCTCTCCACTAACAAGGGGATAATCTTGAACCATCCTACTG